ATCAAAAGAAAATTGATACAGATATGCTTGTCATGACCATACTATATACAAGTATACAAGTATAGGTCTGGATTATTTTTCAGGGCTTAGAGTTGGTTATAATTTAGGTAATAGAGTGATCGAATCTATACTCTGAATTTCTAACTGGATAAATAAAATATTTTTATTATTTAAGAACAAAATAACATTCATCCGGGTAGACCATTTTTGAAAACATATTCTATTAAACAATTACTACCGTTATAGGAATACCTATATGTCTGCATTTAATTGAGTGCTAAGCTATAAATTGCGCTGTTGAAAACTATCTATTAGTGCTGATAACATGCTCATATTTTTTTTATAAATACTCCTAATTATTTATACTCGTGCCGCACTTATGAACTATATATAAGTGAGCTATAGATTTGACTTAATCTTGTTTTGAAAATTTACACGTTTTGCCACACTTTGCTTTATTTAGAATTATCGTAATAAGTATACAGATGTTTCGAATTCAAATCTTATCTCGAAAAAAATATATGTGCTATTTTATTCGGCAATTTTTCCAAAGTGTAGTACACATAGGTGTATGTATGATAATCGATTTTATTGGTGAAATTTCTTTTTTACTTTCGGATACAAATATTTGAAAAAATGTTAAACTAACGGAGATGTCACAATAATAATGGACTCTAGGTAGCTTAGGTGATTATTGTTAGGCCGACTTTCCTCTATTATATTTTGAGATATAGATATAGATAGATTTATCAGTTTTAAACTAAACCATTCTTGAAGTAAACTTGTATGGTCTAGACGCCTAAATGTTAGGCATTTTTCAAACTAAGATAAAAAAAATTAAAAGCATTTTTACTATGCATTTTTTTATATAATTTTTATTGACATTTAAAGAGTATACAAAAAAAAATAAATAAATAAATAAAATAAAAATTTGTCGAATTACAGGCCGTTAGAGTGGGAGCTGCTAAAAAAGCTGGTGCTTCCTGGTTGACATGATTCCAACCCTTGTAGTGATCTAAAACAAACGAATTGAAAAAATTCTTCATTAGTAAAGATGTCGCTATCGGATTGAGCTTTGAGGAAGTAAAATTCAGAAAATGGCGTCGACTTGACAGATTTTTTTTACTTTTTCGAAATTTTTAAAAATACTTAAAATTAAAATTTTCTTATATCCGAGGCAGGTGCGATAGAGAGATGTGTAGCAAATACTTTTTATAAATTTCAAAGAAATCGGTTAAGTCGAATTTCGATATCATGTCAACCCCCTCAAAAAAGATAGTTTCGAGAAAAACACGTTTAAAGTTTCGTCTTCCGCTAAAGCGGTTAAGTTGCTACGACACTAAAACGGCTATAACTTCGAATATAATTTGAATTTTTAAAAATTCTTTTAGTGAAATATTTTTAAAGGTATAAACTTTGAAAATATGCAAAAAAAAATTTTTTAAATTTCTACACCAGAATACCCCCTTAAATCATTAAATAATTTCCGTGCAACAAGAACAAAAACATGCTAATACAAGTACTTATGTACTAAAATACATATTTTCGTTGTATTAATTGATAATATTGTTTTTTTTTTTGTACTTTACGATAGGATCAAAGTGCGTATCAAAGGCGTGACTCAAAAAATCTGCTAATGCTGTTCTTTTTTATAGATTTTGGTATAAATAACTCGAGCTCGTTGAATTTTGATAGGATTGTTTGACTCTCTCATTTATAAATACATTAGCGATAGGCGCTATATATAACATATGGACAACTTGTTTGAATTGTTTACGTAATATAAAAAGAAATTCTTGACAGACTGGTAACGGTGAAAGCGATTTTGTTATCAAATATGCTATTCTTGTTATTCGTGTGTGTGTTTAGGTCGCATGCCTTATGCAACCTTTATTTGTCTTTGCTTGGGTATGCGTTTCAGTATCTCACTTCTAATTCAAACACCGAAATTTTACACTTTCAAAAAAATAAATAAATAAAAATAATATTTTGATGTGTTTTTGTTGTATATTTTTATTTACACACACAAACTAAGATGTTTACTTGTATACGTCATTAAAATATTAATGGTTATTTTAAAATAAATTTTAGTGATATTATTATTTGGATTATGCCCACAAGCCAAGTAAATTTCCATTAAAGTTTATTTCCTGCTCTTAGTATTATGTTGTTTACTCTGTTATATTATTTTGATATAAACAAGCGTAGCGTTTAGTGAAATTAAAAAAAAAAGAATAAAACACAATTATTTTAGTTCTAAAACCGAAATTTATTTAAATTGATATTTTAATTACTTACTAACTATGTTACTAAGTATGTGAATTTTAAACAGTTATAAAAAAAAAAAATTGTTGATATTCATTTTTTTTATTTATGATCTATTTATTTATATGGAAAAACATAAAAATTAGTCGAGATGTATAGTTTCTCGTTAGCATTATTTTTTTTTAATTATTATTTATTTATGAAATAACCAACATTTGTTTATCAAAATTACTAAAATAAAATTATTATTAAATGTTCCAACAAATAGCTTTCATTATAATCGAGAAAACGCGGATAAAGTACTGTTTCAAAAAAAATTGGGTCACAATTTTCTAGAGCGTTTTTGAAAGTCTTTGGAACATTGCTTGTCAACATTCAAATTTTGAGACCTATGAAGGGTTTGAAATAATGGTATCATTCAAATATGAGAGTATTAATATTTGGTGCCACAGGTTCTTTTGTATTGGATATTGCTATTTTTAATATTGAAGTATGATTTCAGGCTTCAGATATAGCATTTTGAATAACGCAAGTTTTGATAGGAAAAAGAGGAAATAAATGGGAAATTTGTATGTTAGTGAATTTTTTGATGCCAAGAAATTACTTTATAAGTATTTTCCTATCTCTACGCTGTACGAAGAAACTATTTGTAAGCCATTTGTAATTCAAAAAATGATGGCCGAAAATTAAGCTTAATCAATACAGCTGACACTCTAAAAATATCCACGAACCGTATTGGACATATCATGTGTGTTACGCAAATGCTTTGAAAAAGCAAGTGTCGCTTTAGCTCTCAATTGGCTTATGCACAATGTCTCAATTCAGTGAAAATGTACGCCAAATGGAATTTGCTTCCGCATTGTATTCTCCAGAGCAGGATCCTACTTTTTTTAGCATGAAAAAGCTTCATTTAATATCCTTTAGTCGTTCAAATTCGACCTAAATCTGGTATGCCAGTTTGCTTGCCAACACCAGTGGTATGCTTACATCCGTATGTAACAATGCAGAAATCTTTAAAAATTAATGATACATAAAGAAATTACCGTAGCTGCTTCCAAATACGATACTGATAGCATGATGAAACTTTTATACGCCAGTTGGTGCAACCCTCAACGATCTTTTGTACAAAACAAACCCAGCCCCAAATCTTCCAACAGACGACAATACAACTAAAACAATCATACCTCCGTAAAAGCGTACCTATTTTTAATTAAGGTCACAGCAATCAGCCTTTAACTAATATTTCAAGGCGCGCATATGAAACGCTATAACTTCCACTTCGTAAAACTGAAACTGAATCGCCCCTCCATTCAAGAGATGACGGGATCGGAGCAAGATCCTTACATTGAAACAATCGTGCTGCCACATCTTGCAAATCAATATCGACTTAATAGTTACAATTTTTTATTAATAGGATAAGATCAGGCCGCAATAAGCAAAATAAGGTCCACCTAATTATCAATAAAATGTCTTATACCATTTTAACCGTAGATTTTCATGGTTGTGAACTCAACAATTTGTGAATTAGCCTCTCATACACATAATCTTCATGAAGTTTTCTCTAGCAGCATTATTGGGCATACAAGTACTTTGCTTCCATTACAAGCATAATCATTAAAATACATAGGGTAGATTTTATTATAATTCTTTCATTCATTTATTCATCGTCAAATAATTACAGTGATTGGTGTTTGGTTGTTTATTAATTAAATTGTATTCATTTCAATTTACGCATTTATTTCCTTCCTTCATACACATTAAATTAATAGAGTTCATTGTTTCCCTTTTTTCAGCAGCTTTCATTTACTGTTACTTATTGCTGCCCTGCACATAACCAATGTACGAAGTTGTTGTTATATTTAGTTTAAATCTAAGCAACACTGCTATTATTTTTCGCTAAACCAAAAGACATACCATACATACACATACAAGTACATAAAGGGAAATAAAGGCGACAAAAACAATTGGTTTTTTTATATATTTATGTATTTATTACTTCACCACAACTAATCAACTTATAAAACTACATATACAATATGTCGTCAACTGCAATTCACTAAATATTTTACATTAACTAAAATTAAGCGAAGAAAAATATATGTGAAAACAAACTAAGCAACTAGGGTGAAGGGGGAGAGAGTCGATTCAAAAACATACTTATATAATGCTAGAAAATTACATAAAATGTGCAGCGCCGAAAAGTAGACAATGCAAGTGGTTAATTATGGTTTCTTTTTCGCATTGTTGTTGCCTATTTTTCAGGCTTACCGTTGCTGTAATGCATTAAGCTAACAAAACCGTTGCACACATGCCAAAATTGCGGCAACACGTACTCCCCCGTCAGTGCGCACCTTTTTGAAGCTTTTGATTATCTGTTATATTTGTTTTTGTTATTTTTTTAACTTTGCTAGGCCTAACTGTGTCACACTGCCATTCGATAAACAAGTTGCAATTTTTCAAAATGTATATTTTTTATTATTAATTAATTACGAGTTACTTCAAAATTAACTAAAAATCGACTTCTACTTCAACAATAAAATTGCAGATTTACGGCGTTTCTGCTAAGTTTTTGTTTTTGCTTGTTTGTTTTGTTACGTTTTCCAATTGATTTACAGCATAAAACAAGGAAGAAGGGTAATTAATATTAATATTATTATCATAGTTTGAGGGAAGAAACTAAATAACGCTTAAAGTAAAAAAAAAAAATTAAGGAGTAAACTCAAATAAAATCATACTGGAAAAGCAACAAAAGGTAGTATGGGTTTTAATTGTTTTTTTTTTTTTGGATTTTTTTTTGTATAGAACGAACCGTGGTGAGATAGTAGATAATCTTATATTGCTAGGTCAGTTAAAATATAACTTTTATCGCTTTCGCCCACTCATCTATGTATTATCATTATATATATATATATGTAGGTAATATGTATATTTTATTAAATTAAATTAATCCATTTGCATTTACTCTCATTTATGATTACTCTTACATCTTCAGCTTCGATCTTCCATTTATTTATAGTTTTTTGTTGTTTTTTCTTTCTTTATATTTAATATTTACTTATTTTTTCCTTTCGTTTACCGTTTCTTTTACTGCACTATACACTAAGTTTTTTGTTTTAGTTTTTAATTAAAATATGTTGTTTACTCCTGCACGCAATTTTTAATAGTAAACTAGGTAAAAGTATTTTTTTTTTGTTGTTTTATGATTTTTTTCATTTTTTTTTTGTTTGTTTGCAATTTTCTCTTTTCTTATTTTTTACTTGTTACTTGTTTTTAGCTCATTTTCTGTCTCGCTTGTGTTGGTAATAATAATAATATAATGTAATAGTAATAGTATTAATAATAATTAATATTTTGTTTTTGCTATTTGCTTCGTTTGTATTTACTTTTTTTGCTGTAATTGAAATTAGTATTAATAAAGTTCTATAGTTTTCTTATTGTTTGGATTGCCAAGTGTGTGTGGGTGTGTTGTTTGTTCTCTAGATAAATTTAATTTTCTTTTTGTTGTGATAACTGTATGAATTTTGAAATATATAGTAGCTTAAACGCTAAACGCAGCCAAAAAGCAACCAGCTTCCTTCCTTCCGGTGAAAATGTGTACGCTCGTGAGTCGCATGGGGGCGTGGTTGGTCTGTACATATGCGCAATGTGTTGTTGCTGTGCTGTGTTTTGCAGAGTTGCCGCTGGCTTGGAAAGTGCTTGAAGATAGTTTTGTGAGTTACATCTTCGTAGACGCCGTCATCATCACTGCTGCTCAGGTTTGCGGCGGCTGGAAGTGCGCCGAGTTGATCGTGCGCTGTGCTGCCGCTACACTGTTCGCTTTGAATCCGAAGCGCTGCGAGATATAGTCATATTAATAGAGGTGTTCGCTCCAAGCAAGCGCTTCTTCTGCACTACACTGCCTCAGCTGCTTGCGGTGATTTACCATGCGTTGAGTGGTTGGAGCGTGTATACACTGCCGTAGCGGCACACGCCCGCACTGCTGGCCAAACATTAGACGCCTGCTTTCAAGTATTCACTTTATTTGGCCGTGCATTATGCAAGTTTGTCAGTATGTTCCAGCATACATTCGTCGTATTTGGCGTTGGGCGAGCGCGCCGATGGCATTGCAGTTGGGATGGGCGTTGCAACTATATGCCGTTTTCGTTGGCAAGTTTAGAATTTGCCCCGTGTGTTGGTGGTACTTGTCTCATTCTCGACATATTTATATAAATATATGTGTATGTAAGTTTCTGCGTGTGCCTGTGTATCTTTATGAAGTGTAGCTCTTCTTTTGTTTTTTGTTTTTCAATTTTCGCTCTACTCTTTGCGCTATAAACTATACTTTCTTAACTGAGTTCTTTTATGTTTTCTTTTCGGTATTTTGTTTTCATTTCATTTGTAGTGTTGTTTATATTAATTATTATTATATATATATAGTTATTAATTATATTATCATTATTATTTATATTTAATTTTTATGTATATATTTAATATTTATATTTATATATATATATATTTATATTATAAAGTTGATGGCACAAAAGTTCAAATTTTTTGTATTTTTTCGCCAACTACCACAGGATTATTGCGTCGAATTTCTTGGGCCCCATGTTCCCGATAGTTAAATGTGCAGTCGTGTTTGTCGCTGTATCTGTGTACAGCGCAGTAGAGTCCACCACATCGGCACTGAAAACCTGCAAATGAAAGGAGATTTAAAGAAATTGAAAATAAAAAATTTGTATATGGCAAGAATGAGGTGTAAATAAATTAAATGAAGAAGAGGTAAGATATGCAAGCGGCTAGCAAGGCACACTCATTTAGATACTAAATATCTTCTCCTCAAATTAGTATTGCGATATAAAGCTTATAGGTGCCTCTATTTTCAAACAACAAGGAGAGAATCTCATAAAAGCACCTATCACCTTTAATTGTATGCCACACGCTCGCATATTTGTCCTTACTACATCAATATTTTCCTTTCCACTTTTTTTCTTTCTTTCATAATTCGCTTCTCACCTGTAAGACCAACTTTCTTGCGACATTCAGCGCAACGGTTCTTTTTCTTTTTTGCATCTTTGTCTTCCTCCTTGTCTTTATCATCTTCGGCTGTTTGGGAGGATGTTGATGGACCGGCAACGGCAGCAGCTTCGGTGCTAGTCTTAGCTGCGCTTTCTTCGTTTATTTTCTGCAAGCAAAAGTATAACACATAAATTGAAAATTGACTACATTGTCATAACAATTAATATCACATAATTATAAAAAAAAATTATATACAGATATATATATATGTATATATTAAAATGCAACCTGCATTCACTGATACGATAAGGTGAAATCAATAAGTTTAAAACTGCCGCTTATTCTTGATATACATAGAACTATTTAAAATACTAGGGTAATGAGTATAGAGTACATGCTGTTCAATGATCTTCCTTTACGAGCGAATATATATATAATTATTTTTCTGTATGCCTGTATATACATAGAAGAGAAGAAGCATCGTACATTTTAGGTGGCCAACAGCCAAAATTCCTTTGCTCGAATGCCAATTTTATTTGTTAATATTGAGACGAAGCAGAAATTGTGCCCTGCTACTTGGTGCTGCAGCCTAGGCGAGTGCAGTGCCCGTGAAATTTAATCAAACACTCGAACATGTACTAGCAGCGAGTTGCATACTTATTCAGGTGACTTTTATGTAATCTCATTGCTTTTTTATTCAGAAATCGCGGAAGTTTAGGGGCAAGCAACAAATCATTAAATAAATACTGTAGAGTATAAAAAATAACAACTAAAGATATTTACATAAAACTATTACGACAATACTTTCAAAAAATAAATTAAACTAATAAAATTAAAACCTGAAAATACGCTAACTTCGGTGCACCGAAACTAGAATACTTAACAAATAAAAAAGTGTGCATACAGGAACTTGATTTCGATCGGTCAATATGGCAACTATATAATATAAAAAAATTTGAGAGATAGGTTGTAGCATTGTATTGGACAATACTGTATTCCGAATTTCGTGAAGATATCTTGTCAAATAAGAAGATCTTCTATACAATAACTTGATGTTGATCATTCAGTTTGTGTGGCAGTTATGTGCTATAGTGGCCCAATATCAGTTTCCGACAAATAAGCAGCTTCTTGAGGATAAAAGTAAGTGTGCAAAATTTCAGAGCGATATCTCAAAAACTGAGGAACTAGTAGTATATACACACAGACGGATATGGCTAAATGTACTCAGCTCGTTACGTTATTCGATTATATATATATTTTATAGGATCTCTGGGTATAAAAATATTATATATGGTATATATAAAAACAGCTTCAATATTATGGAAGACAGTCTAATAAGTTTAAGAGAAAGATATTTATTTTAAATAAAAAAAATTATTTAAATATAATAAAATATCATAACTGATATTAAGAAATCATAATTAGTGTGCTAATCAAAAATTGGCCTACACTTAGGAGCAGACATATGCTATGTTTTCTAAAGCCATGAAACATGTTGATTTTACGCTTTTTTTCACTAACTTTAGGATTAGACTTTTTATATGTAACATTAAAAAGAAAGGGAATCCAAATAAATAAATTTCATACTTTGAGAATTCGCTTGAACTCATCCATGACACACTCAGTCCACATATAAGTTTGAAGTCAACTTTTTTATAAGATGGTTCAGAGACCAATGTGCATAATATACAAAAAAAAAACATTAAAAAGAACCAAATTCTTAGCAAGATTACTACAAATAACCCTTTATAATGATTTTATAGATCAAAAGTTTCCAATACCTATATAAGAATTAAAACTTCTCTCTAAAACCAAAAATATTAAAAATTAACCAAACTTTAACTATTTTTATACAAAATTCTAAAGTAGCAAATAAATAGTTAGTTATGTAAGGGCAAATGAGAAACCAATAGTTCTTGGCACATTTATGTGTTTATATAAATCGTGAGCAATTGCATGACATTTTGTAACTTAACGTTGCAATATGTTTGATAAAAAAATGAGGAAATAAATAGGACAACGCAAAACCATTTGCAGAGTATAGGGTAGGAAATGCAGACGAAACACCGTTCAAATTCAAGAGTGCGCGACATTTGTAATAAACATTCTAATCAAGAAGCTAATTGGTAAGACATTTACCCCTTTTTTAGACGAATTATTATTACTAGTTGAGGGAGCCGTATTAATGGGTTCGGCGATTGGCACAACCATCGGCGCTATTAATGAATTTTGCAACTCCTCAGCTGCAGGTGCACTACCACCGCCACCAACAACACCACTACTGTTGGCAATGTTGTCCACATCGGCTGCAACTATGTTAGTGACCACTGCATTACTAGCTGCTGCATCATTTTCTGTTGCTGCTGCTGCTGGCTCTTCTTCATTGCTTGCATTCTTCTGCTTGGCATTATGCGCTTCTTTGACCATAGCCACCGTTATATTGTTGCTAGTAGTGGGTATATTATCAAAAAATTTCAAATTATTCCCAGTAAACATTTCAGCACCATCATAAACTTTGGTGGTGTGTGCATTAAGCGCCGATTTATCGTTTACAGGACTAAAGCGACGCACAGGTGGTACATTCACCGAACCCGATTCGACAATGCCAGCACCGGATGCCACATGCTTCGTACCGCCACTTTGGCGGCGCTTGAGCAAACGTTTGCCGCTGCTACGTCGTTTACTAGCGCCCTGCACATTTTCGTTGGAGCTTGTAGGTGCATTCGAACAATCTGCTGAGGGCTCATTTGATGTGGGCACCGGTGCGTTGGGTGTCTCTGGTTGTTTGGTCGCGAATTGCTGTTGCAATTTGGACAACTCGGCCGCTTCGAATTCAGCTTGTGCGCCTTGCGGTACTTTCTTTAGTTTCGTAGTGACTTTATTCGTGCCTGCTTTACGTTTCACCACCGCTACATGCTTCACTTTCAATATCGACTTGGACTTTTCTACAGTGGGCAGCTGGCTACCAATCGTGTCTTTGCTGTTCGCAGTATTGGTTTGTGACTTGGTTTTGGCAGTTGTAAGACGTATTTTCGATTTGGTGTTTGGTGAACTGAAATTTACATGACGTTTTCGTTTCGTGGTTGTTGTTGTTTGGCGTTTGATGTCGTCGCCGCTTGCAGAGCGTAATTTTCTAGTGTCTTGTGAAATACAAGTAACAAAGGAAAGGTATATGAAACAATATGCAATTGGTTAGCTTTATTAGTTTGTGCTCACGATTTCGGCGTGCACCGCGCAAGGTAGTGGTGGCCGCAGTTGCCGTAGTTGAGGTGGTTGGCAGTGCAACGGTGGCATCGGACGCGGCTGTAGCCGCCGACGACGTTGCAAAGTTATAAGCAATTTTATCATCTTGTTGCTGTTGTTGTTGCTGTTGCTTACGTATACGCTCATTGGCGTCTGTGGTGGCTGTTGTGGCCGCACTGGGTGCAGTCTTCATTTTAGCAGCGGACATAGTTTTCGCTTTCGTTGGCTTGATTTTGAAAGGATTTACTTAACTAGTGGTGCAATTGGAAATTAGCGTATGCGTTGGGCGTCGAAAAAGCGGTGCCGAAAAATTTGCGTTAGTTTTTAAATTAAACGAATTTTGTTGAATGTAAATTTTCATCATTAAAAAGGCATTTTATACAACCCGCACTACCACTTCGGCCACTTTAGAAAATTTAATAGACATGCGTCGGATTTCGATTGTTGTGTTTTAGTATTTACTTATTATTTTTAAAAATATAGATAATTTTTTAAATTTTTTGAAGTTTTTTGAAAATTTACTTAACAAACGATTTAAATTTCAGAGAAAAGGTTTGTTTTATTCAAATTTTCAATTTAACGCAAGCACAAGTGCGATATCGCAAGGGATGGGTTGTTTTTTTTTTTTAATTATAAGAAAATTCGTTATCAAATTTACAGTCTTCTCTGCTTCAGCGGTAATATTTTGGTGTATTTACCATCAGAATTGCTACTATGGGTCTATTTAAGTTTTTATAACCTGAATACACCCCAAGTTGGCCGCGGAGTTTGTAACATCCAAAAGGAAACGTCGGAAATTTACGATGACATGGATTATTTTCCAAAGCAACACATATAGCATATGGCTGCCATACAATCTGACCGAACCAAATTTAGTTCTTGTATGGAATCTGTTTTTGAGGTAACGGGTTTTCTTGTTTATTATATAACCTGCCTTTATTACAAGCAATTGCTGCTCTTAAAATATATTAACCCACTACAGTGGCTTCTCACTCACCTCTTTTATTTCATTATGCTGCAGCTGTAAACTTTGCACTGTCGGCTGTGCTGTATTGGTTATTGTGATGGCTGGACTGAATGTGGGACTTGGCTGAGGGCTTGGAACTGATACAGGTGTGCTGCTAACAGGTGGTTGTTGCTTTTTTCTCAAAGAATCCTGTGTAGAACAGAGAATACCAAAATTAATAACACTTCGTGAAGACAAAATTCAATAATTTAAGGAATATCGACTATCAAGTCAAGAGCGATACTCACCTTATAGCACACTGAGCAGAGACCATCGGTGGCTGGATTGCCGTAGAAACCGCAACCGGAGCGGCACATAGGTTGCATTGGATTGGATTCACGTTCCATTGTTTGTTTTGTGGTTGTTGTTTGTTCCTGTACTTTAGTTGATTTGCTTAGTTAGTAGTGTAGTTGTATTGATTTATTTACTGCTTTGTTTTTTTTTTTTTTTTTGTTTTGTTGTACGCGCTTCAGCAACGACTTTGCTAACTTTGCCTACGCCTTTTTATGAATTTATCACTACTTCTTAGCACCGCTCGCTCAATAATTAGGCTGTTTGTTGCAATCACGGGGCTTTATTGCCGATTATTGTAATTTAATGTTGTTATTGTATTTGGTTTATGCGTTGTTGACGTTTAAGAAATTTAGAGAACAGTGAAGTTTAATAACAGTTTATTCTTTGTAACACAACTCGTTGATAGAAGAACACCGAAGAAGATTTGCAAATAACTGTTGGCTTTCAATTTCAATTTAAGCTAATAGCAAATTCAATACAAAAAAAAAAAATACGTGTGAGTGAGAGTTCCGCTGTTTCAAAAAAATCCAATAACAACAACACACGCTGACTCTGCTCGCTCGTTTTAGATGCTGCAAAATAAAGTAAAGAAACGCACAAAATTAGTACAAGCGCTTATTAGCAGCAAATTGTTGAGAAATATTCATTTTCATACACACTCACCAGGCACTGGCACCACAATTAAAGAATTTATTTGATTTGTGTTTTTCTTTTTGAAGATTCAGTTTCAAGTGCTATACTTTATGAACTGATTGTCCAGTTGTAGCTGGTTGTATGCCTGTTTTTCTTGCTGTCGTTGTTGTTGTTGTTGTGCGCATACAATTGCACTTGCAATTGCGGAGAACTAAGATTTAATAAGAGCAGTAAGTAAGTAAGTAAGTGAAAAAGCAACTGTTTTGTTGCTAGCTATTGGTTGTTGTATTTGGCGGTGGTGTTGGTGACAGTTGACCGGTGACTGGCACACAGTGTCGCCTTGTTGATTTGACTCTACTTTCGTTTATTACTCCTCGCACGCCGATAGCCGCTGATGCTGCCGCTATTACCACTCTGGCTGAGTTTTGATAAACTCACTCGTTTTCGCTATTGCCCAGTTATTTATTCTTAACGCTGAAGCCGCCGCCGCTGCTGCTGCTACTGCTGCTATTGTTGTTGTTGGAGCGTGAACTTTTAATGCTCAATAGAACTGTAATTGAAGAAAATAAGAGAAATTATTAATTTTATGTGAGTTTAGAGCATAAAAATTTTCTTTTATGTTTAATATTTCTCAAAAATGTGCCAATAATACAAATATATGCGCTTATATGATTACTTGCGCGTTTAAGTAATGCATGTGTAATATGAGACGCCGGATCAACTTGTGAGAAAAATAATCGTGTGTGTAATTTTCAAAGTTATTACTCATAGAAAATTGCAATTGTTTTGGAATGCGCCTGGCAGCACTGGCTGGTGTGCATTGAAAGCGTGACTAACGGCTAAGTGAGCGAAACCAAATATCAAATTAATACAGGAAAATTGCAAATATACAATCATCGACTATCATCGAATATATAAATTATTAGAAAAAAAAATTTAGTCAGTCATCAGCAGTGACTATTATTTGGTGTGCTTGTAGGCAACTGGTGAATTTTTACACACAATGATATCATAATTATTTAATTGTAGTTTTTTCATAAATAAATTTTTTTAAATTGTTGTTGTTGTTGTTGTTTTAGCGGCAGAAAACATTCCTGAAGTCCTTGGCCGGATAAAAATTGGGGTTCGTTGCGGTTACTTAGACCCGACTGTCGTGGAAACGATTTAATTGTTGCAGTTGTAGATTGCTTTAAAAACATGAATTTATAATAATAAAAAAAACTACTTTCGTCCACGCAAATATTTAAAATATTTAAATATTTCAGCAAAGAAAGAAAGTAATATGGAATAAAAGAATTAATTTAATCATATATGAAGAACATCGAATTATTTCTTGAACCGTATCGTATAGTAATTACACTTTAATTAAATTTTATAATTTTGAAATTTTTGTAATTCATTTGCAGCAGTTTTTTATATTTAATTTGAAATATTGACTGTTGTCTTTTCTTTTTTACTATTTTTTGTTACTAATATTAATTTTTATTTTTAATCTTTAAAAACTTATTTTAATTCTTTATTTTATCAATTTAAATAAAAGTTTTCTTTCCAATTTTCGTATTGTTTCGTATTGTTTAAATCTTCAAGCTTGATAATATTGACAGTTTAGAAATTAATTTTTGTGTTTTTGACGAAACTATTTATTATTGTTACATAACTTTAGAATCTAATTTATTCATTTGATATAATATTTATTTATTTCCTTACTATTAGTTATGTTTTGCAAATTAAGTACACATTTTAATATATATTTTAGTAACCAGACGAATACTTATTTTTTCTTTCCACAACATCACAGACGCACTTTTATCTATTTTAATTACTTATTAAATTAATTTAAAAATTTGATTTAATATTTTGTTAAATAAATATGCCCAATTTGTAATAAATATTTTACTGCATTTTTCACTTCTATTTGCATTGTTAATTTTTTGCATTCTCATCAGCAGCCGCCATTAGAAATCAGCGCACACAATGGAGACTCAAATCAAATACATACACAAACATACACATGTTTTTGCGAAAAATATTGCAAATAGTAAATCGCAACAACAAAAAGAAGTTAACAATAATGCAACAGCTGCGCGCCAACATAAAAAATGCAACAAAAAAATTACACTAATGACAACCACAACAAAAACAAACACACTACGGCAAAAAAGAAGCACTAAAAATCACAATTGTTTTTGTTTTACAACTGATACAACAAACAAAGTGGGCGCTGTTATAATAATTGTCAAGCAAATGTTTTTCAAGGCTGCAGCTGGACCAGAAGTCAGCGGCAAATCTGGAGTCGCGTTCAAAACAAAATAAAACCGTGAAGAATGAAGTAAAGCGCGGAGGAGAGACGAACATTTATCGAATTCTTACATTTGTTGCAAAATAATGGCGAATTCGTGTGGTTGCGACGATTGCGATCGCTACTGAGAAGCTCCAAGCACCAACCATCGAACAAACTGGCACCCAGTCTAATATACTTGTATATGTATATATGTATGTGTGAACACAGCGTTCGTCCAGCATAGCAGCCAAGCTCACAACTGACGCACCAAGATAGCAACTGAACCGGATTGAGTTGTGAACAGAAACTCTAGCTGGCGGTGCTAAACACACACATACACACATAAGTGCATATGTGTGTATGCATGTATGTATGTATACCATATATGATTGTAAACGTACACAAGTGACTGCAAACGCTGCTGATAAAACCTCTGCGGGAGCAATTTTTTGTAATGTAGTGGAAGTTTTGCTGTTATTTATCGAGTTTTTGTCATATTATTGTTGCTGTTTTTTATGAATGTTTAGTGTTGCTGTCATTTTGCTGTTTATGTTATGCTAATATAAGTTTACTCATTTATGTAAGTATATAAGTACATATACATACATATACATACATATATATATAAACTGATACTTGTTAGTCTTCTTCTTTTTAATCTGCCTCAAGCCTGGAAGAGTGAGTGATTTCCTCCTCCCAGCACTCGAACTTGTATTCTTTGTTGTTGTCTAGACTTTGAGGGGTGTAATGTTTGTTGTCATAGCAGAGAGCACAGGTAAACAATTGCATATGCAGCATGTGTTTATGTTTGCTCGTAACTCTGAGCCTGTGTGTGTTTGAGTGTGCGTTTTTTAAACGTCTTGCCTAACGGTGTTAATTGTTGACAAGAATGAAAATGTGCTCTTTTTGGCAATGTCTGTTGGTATGTTTTACATTGTTTCTTTGTTATGGTTTTTCTATGAAGACGATTTCACCACGAATTTTCAAGCTGAGTTGAACTTGAACGAGGCAGGCAAGAAATACAAGTCGTGACTGGAGAAGCACTATTTCGGAGTGAAATCGAAGACACTACAAAATATATACATACATACACACATAAGGTCTTTCCTAGAGACAGCTGATTTGTCGAAACTGTCGATATCGGACCACTATAGCATATACTATGTATACAACTACACTGGCATACAAACTGAAGGATCAAAATTAAAATCAAGTGCAACCGAAGTTAACGTTTTTACTTGTTTTGTTATAATTTTTATTTATTATTATTATTATTTGTTTTATTATTACTACTTTTTATTAATAGCTTTTTATAATTACTATATTCTTATTATAAATCTTATTTTATTATTATTTTTTATTTTTTACTTTTATATCTTTTGTTATTTATATTTTTTATTTTTTTATTATTATTATAATTATATTACTTTTTACTAATACATTTATTTTATATGCCTAAATTTTTAATATTTTATTTATCATAAAATTATGCTCGTGCTTCAAATTAGTTATGATTTTTGTAAATAAATAATTTATAAGTTTGGTTTGAAATTATTGTGTATATATTTTAATAATTTTTAGTTAACCTTCCGACGTTTCTTTTTTTTAATTTATGAATAAATATGTATATATTTTTCATATTAATTTTCGTTGTTTTTTTATAGAATTTTTATTTCAAAATTTTTGTTACGTTTTTTATGTTAAACATTTTAATAATTTTTTTTTGTTTACTCTCTTTTTTTATAATTTTAAATAGCAAAGCACTTCTTGTTTTTTGTGACTTTTACGCTAACAAAATAACTGTATGTACTATACGCTTAAACATGCACGAATACTACAAGCTTGACTTTGTGGTTCGCTGGCTGGCCTGCGTGCTTGAAACCGCGATGGGAGCGCAGACTTCTGAATAAAAGAATACGACACAAAAGCTACGCCAAAGTCAATAAACATACACACAAACATATGGTAGATTACAAAAATGGAACGTGCTTAAAGCGGACAGCGAAAAACACTAGTGGTGGTAAGAAACACTACCAGCAACACATTACGAAAAAGCAAAACATTAAAAAAATAATATAAAATAAATACAAGGAAGAACAAACTTCTTCTAAAAAAACTTCCACTGAAAAATGCATTTCATGCTGTGGTGTGTTTGTTTTGAGTGGGTGACATGCGCAGTAACATGTGACCTTATGGCTGGCAGAAATTCAATACCAGAGCAAAAGAAAAATGAATTGAGTAAATTTATCTCGCACACGCACACACTCAAAGAAAAACTAACATGTTTCTGTAAACGGCTATTTCACCACACTTATATGTCAGCTGTATCAGTAGAGGTAGTGCAGCACTGTGCGCCATCATGTGGTGAGTTAATCATTCAAACTGTCAAAAGCAGAAAGAGCAAAGTCATTGCGTGTTGACAGCACAACTGCATGACATTACAAAACGTAAATATATGCTCAGACATTGGGTATGCACAACCCCGCCACTAACAGCTGGTATCAATCCAGCATGCATGCATATATGCACCTTTTTGACAAAGTAATTTGACTCGTACGAAACCGAATATCATTTGACATATGAGCGGTAATGCATTTGAAACCATAGGAAGAGTCTATTCACCACACCATGCTCATATTCCTTTTACTTTACATAACTGCAGTAAGCAAGAGAGTAAATTGAATACATGTAATTACTCAGTTTCAAAGTAAAATCAAACATTTCTATAAAAATTCCGCGATTTAAGTGGCTAGAAAGCATGTTTTCCTACGAATTTGCTCATCGCTGCCCAACTGCAAAACTTGTGGTGTGTGGTGAAAAGTTATGGTGGTATAAATTTAAGTTACAACTTATATGCGCGTACATAGTATATTTATTTCCCCTCAACCTTACGCATTCGTCTGCACGCACATTTAAATAGACATCAGCATAATTAAGACAGACATGGCGCTGGGAACCCCGCAGTTGCTGGGTCTGCGCTCACGCTGACGCTGGCTATAACGCTGCACGCGCTCGTCAACGCTGGCATTGCACAATACGGTTTGTTGATTTTCCACGTCTCACTCCAAATAAATTTATGTGAAAAATCACACATATACATATCTATATTTGTACGTGCATAGCAACTAAGGCCGAGTCACGTTTTAAATTACAGGGTGTGTTTTTCAGCATTTCATACACGTATTAGCACATACTCTTACTAGCTTGTGGGCTAGATTGTGTGAGGGCGAATAGTCATTGTTTCTTGTCAGCTGTGGAATGAAGTAAATTTGATTCCATGTACATATGTATGTACACACGTACTTATGTATCTATATAGCAGATACACATACATAGATTGAGAGAAAAGGATTATTTTTGTAAAACCTGTAGTATACTTATTAGGGTCTGTTGAAAAGCAATTAATGTGAGAATAAAGTAAATATTTAGTTCTGAAGTTAGCGAAATTGATTGAAAGTCAAGTTAAGCTGCATAAAAATGAAATAACAGTAAGAATACTTCGATAAACTGAAGTTCATTATTAAGTTCCCTCTTTCCTATGAATTTATTCGATGGTAGTGGGCTTGATCGCAAAAACATATGTCCCTCTGTTTTAAGACGTCTGATATGAAAAAAATACACATCAAACTGAACTAAATATTTCTCCTGAAGGTAAAGTCGATTAAAATCCACTTAGAACTATGCCAATAGGGATTGGAGGACGCTCCAGTCCACTGACTATATAATAGTCATAATATCATCTGATCTAATTTGATTCGGACTTGTCCAAACTGCGGGCGCAAATCGAATAGATAAAACAAAAAAACTTGTTTTAGTTTGTTACAACCTTTTTTATGTTCGTGTGAAGTTTGATCTCCATATGCTAATAGGTGTGTGTTTTTTGTTTGTCGGGTGGTTTTACCCATTGAACAAAATTTAACAACGAGTTTGTTTGAAATCTTGTATTTCGAATGAAATCACGGCTACGGAATTGTTTAAGAAACTGCAAAAGTATTATGGGGTGTATAAATTATCGCGAACGCAACTATTTAAATGGCACAAAGCATTCAGAGATGGTCGTGAAGTCATCAAAAATTTGATTCATGCGAGTCACTTCCTCTAACATCGAAAAAGTTAAAGAAAGAGTGCTTGAGAATGGTTGTGTTGACATCAGGAATATAGCACATAATCTTAACATCTCTTATGGATTGACTCAACACATTTCGGTTAATGTTTTGGCTATGAAGTGTATTAATGCTAGACTCGAACCAAAAATTCTGAATCGTTTGCAAAAACGATGTCAAGTAGGGGTTAAAAAAAAAAAATGCTTCACTACGCTGAAAACACTGAGCGCCATCCCAGTCGAGCCAGGGTATGGAAAATTGCATTAAGCATTGGAATGTGTGGACGCTCCCGTTTGGGGGCGATAATAAAGATTTGTACTAAAGTTCGGGACATATATGATTTGATGGTACGTTATATTTTTAACTTCCGCGTTAGACAAAGTGTTGAAATATCAAATTATAAAAAAATACTTTCTCAAAAGTGGTCGGTTCTCAGCAAAGTTTTAAAGGGAATCTAATATTTAGGAAACCAATGCGTCATTCACGCATACACCACTCTCTCAACGCGCCTCCGTTGCAAGCGCGACTGCTGGGTTGATGGAGTAAATATGTAACTGCAGATACACAATTGACGCAGGCAATGCATTTCTTGCTTTTATTTTGCTTGTCAGATTGCATTTGCAGTTTTTGCAGTGGCATTAGTGTTGGCGTCGGCGTTGACGTTCTGCTTCTTGGTACTTGTGGCAGCTGACTTTGAGCTGACAGTGTTTTATGGGGGCGTATTGTATGCACCAACTGTGTAAAGGAGTGCTTACTTCCCTGCCGAAAGCAATTGTTTGTACAAAAGTGTGTGTGTACATACATATGTATGGGTGTCGGTATTAAGACTTGTTTGAATATTTTGCTTTTATAACTGCATAGTCTCATGTATTTGTAACAACTACAATACATTTAAACATATGAATGCATGTAAGTATATATTTGACTTCATTAGCTTGTTGCAGCATTTATGCATCAACTTTTATTTTTATTTTTTACTTTTCGTTTTGCATTTTTATTCGCTTTCTGTTACTTTTGCGTTTTAGTGCGCTATTAAAGCTGCTTTGAACTTCTTGTTCGGTTATACATATGTACATATAGTATATATGTATGTACGTATAAGACTAAAGAGGTGTACATTTACACACATGCTTATGTACATACATATGTAGTATACATATTTACTTATATTTGCGCTTTTATTTATTTATCTTTTCTGGCATGGTTTTGTATTTATTTTACCCGCTTTTAAACTTGTTCAGCAATATTTCATTTTTAGCAACAATTTCGCTTAACAAGTTGTTTATTTAAATGCATAGGTTCGTAATATACGTACATATGTATGTATGTATGTATTGTAGAAGCAGTAATTGCATGATCATCAATAACGCTACACAGTCCTATTGAACAGCAGGTTTTAATGACTGCTCCGACCAGTTGGCTGATTAATTTTGTTGTATGTATGTACTACATATTTAAATATATGCATACATACATACATACATTTATAAATGTGTTTTAGTTAGTAGCAGCACAAAAACATCATCATTGACTGGCCTCCGCTCTTCATAAAGCTACAGCCACAAAGTAACAACATTCGTAATCGAGTCGAAAAAAGCTTGATTTCATAAATATGTATGTATGTATATATACAGACATACACATGTATGCACATACCTATACCTATATGAATATATTTCTTTGATTTATGCGTTCAACGTGTCCGCAGTTAGTCAACAGTTCTTTATCATTCACCAGCATATACTTGTACATACATACTTATGTATAATTTATATAAGTGCATACATATGTACATATGTATGTATGAATATCTGAACAACAGAATGTTGGCGGACACACGGAAATATTGCTTGGCTGGTTGCTACGCTTCGCTAAGCAAAGACCACAACCACACTGGTCGAAAGAAGTACGTACATCCCACATCTGGGTACCAAAACTAGGAAAAAAGCAAGAAAAACCTCAACTTCGGTTGCACCGAAACTAGAATATCATTTACAAATTAAAATTTTCCATATAATGACTTGATTGATCACTGTTAATGACAGCTACATATATGCTATAGTGATCCAATCTGAATAATTTGTTTTTTGTACCGTTGGCTTGGGCAATAACCCATGCCAAATTTCGTAAAGACATCTGGTCAAATAAAGAAGTTTTACTTACAAGAACTTGACTTAGATCGTTCAGTTTGTATGCAACAAGTGCGCAGCTTCTTAGAAAGAAAAGAACGTGTACAAAATTTCGATACCTCAAAAACTGAGAGAAATAGTTCGCGTATATACAGACGGACGAACATAACAAAATCGAGTCTGCTCGTCCCGCTGATCATTTATATATATACTTTATAGGGTCTCCATCGTTTCTTTCTGGGCGTTAAAAACGTCGTGGCAAACTTAATATTATATATTCAGGGTATAATTATTAAATTTATTAAGTTCGAATTAATTACTGTGTTTTTGTTTTGTTTAAATTCAAAGTCATTAATTAGAACCTCGTGTTCATATGCGGCCACTAACAACATTCTGATTAGCTTGGAAATACGAATCGTAAGTTTGGTACGTGCTTTTTACTTGAAGTAAAAAATAAATGTTATATAATATATTATATATTTACTATTAATATGCCCATGATTAAAATTGTCAATAATTGAAGCAATGGTAGTGTAAAAAATCCAAATTTTGTTACAAAGAAGCTACTTACTAAAGCACTACTCACAACAAAGCTTTATGTTTTAAGCTTGCTATTTGAAGTATCGTTTTCATGTACTTCAAAACTGCAAAAAGAACATTCTCAAAAACGAAAGTCATAAAAAGTAAACACTTCAAATTTATAACCACAATGAAGTGAATGCGATTGGTGAAAGCTTCCAGGAAAGTAGATGAATGGCTGATGGGAGAGAGCAACGAATTGAATATTTAGTGTAATTGCTTGAATTTTACGTCATAAAGTGTAAAAGTGAAATGTTCTTGCAAAAGCAGCATTTAAGCTATTTGCAGAAGCTATTGTACAAGATTTTTTAAAATCCTAAAAATGATGTTTTCAACTATAAAACTAACATTTTGCTTGAAAATTACTTATTTTGAATTAAGTGTTTGTCGAGTTAGCGTAACAAAAGTTGTATAATAAATTATGTTAAGTAACAGCAAAAGCTATAACAAAGCTAAAACCAAATTTTATGACCAAATCTACTAATTATTTCAAACATTTTTAATTATGTGTGAAAGCTCAAAAGATTTTTAAGTAGTTTCCGTTGAAAATCTTTAAAAGGAAATCTTAAATTTAGCATATTCGGCAGATTCTTTTTAGTAATTTCAGCTTTTCGATTTCTGCGTGAAAGCTCGAATGATTATTACAGAAATTTTTCATATAAAAACTATTAAAAATGTTCATAAACTGACGTTTGCAGTATATTTTTTAACCATTTCAAGCATTTCAATTTTCTTTGTGAAAGCTTGAACGAATTTAATGAAGAGCTTTCACTTTATAATAGCATAGATATTTTTGTCTTAGTATAAAATATTTTTGTCATTTCTTCATACATAAATCGCTAATTATTTTGACGTCAGCGGCTAAATATATTTCACAAAATATGTCAGCTGTGCTTTTTGCGCAAAAATAAAACAAACATTCCCGCCTCGTGTCGGAGTACTACTTGTATACAAGCGGAGCAATTAACCAACGTTACGTTATAAGTGTTTAAAAATGTCTAAATATATTTATACTAAAGTATATAAACAAAGATCACTAGACAGGTATATATGTATATACAAGTATTCATTCTAACTTATGACAACGGTTGCGATGACGACTATAAGCCAAATAATTAACCAAAACCAACGAAGGTGGAAGAAACCCAAAAATATATATTGTACAATAGTTATGTAGCAATTAGCGCTGTATGGCTGGCTTGAAAATTATACTTATGTATTTTTACCTTAAAGATTAATAAAAAAAATGTTACTGCCTTCAGGAATATATAATTTGTGTTTGCACTAATGCTCATGTAATTTGCTATTATATTTACTTTTAATGAGTTTCGATTTTATTCTAATCTCCTTTTCAATATTCTATTGGATGCGCTTTTTCGCTATAAACACTATATTTATACATACTTATGTAAGTATATAATAATAATGTATTTTCCACACTTGAGCGATTCTATAAATTTGCAAATATTGACGGAGGGGCGGATTGGTTTGCACAATTAGTCGAGCGTTCATTTTTAAATACTACTTCATAAAATAATTGGCAATGCTCGTATATACATATAACATATTACATACAGACATATACATACATATAATAGAAACGCTTATATTGCAATGGTTGTGTAAATGTTTGTAAAATCATTTAGTTTTTAATTTGTTTTGCATGATGCAACGCCAATTTGAATTATTTATTTACTAGAAAAACACATACTTGTATATATACGAGTTTGTAAGCATATACGAATATGTGCAACAATAAAATTGAAAATTATTGACTTGAATTGTCCGATTTAATGTGGCAAATTTTGACGTCACGGTTATAGATACATACATACATATATGGTATACAACAATGTTGCACTTAAATGTATATGAATGGTTGAAAAGGAAACCGGAAATTATATTAGAATCATTTCCGTCAGGTGGTTTGCTGAAAGCGTGTTCTTTTGGAAAACAAACACACCATTTGTGTCGATTTAACTATGCAAATAAATGGGTAATTTTATTATTTTGCATTCTCCGTGTAAAATATAATGCGCGAAGAGCAATTAAAATATAATTAAACTAGAATATAATAAGTTTATGTAATAATATTTATGTTGCGTGATATTTTAGTTAGTTTTTAGCCGATATTTCACAAATTTAAATTATAATTTTATAATAAAATTATAAATAATAAAATTGAAATTTTTCCAATAAATGCGTTTAAAATCTTTTCCACGCTTCACTCTCCAAAAAAACAACAAAAGAAAACGCAATGACTGCCGCAAACACTAACTATGAGTCAAACGAAATAGTAGTCAGATTATAGTGCCCAGTTGACCCGCATTTTAATAAACAATTTGGAAGGGAAGTAGTGCACTTAACCCATGCATATGCACACTTCTACATACATATATAAGAAAACAGAAAATTCTGAGAAATTGAGAAAAATTTACATAACCATGCACAAGAGAAACCACTAAAACACCACTAGCATTAAAAATAGCGGTCTATTAATTGTGTTGCATAGTGTAGGTTGTTATTAGGAGCTTTCGTTCGGTTTACTTTAATATACAAATTTTGAAAATTGATACTTTCAGTGTGAACCATTTTTTCTTGCTCATTAAATTCGACAATGACATGCAAACGTTGTTGAAATTTATAGCATAGAACCGGATAAGGCGGTGCGGCTTGGAAATTTATGTTGAATTAAAAGGGAATGGAAAATAATGTACGTAAAGTAACGGTAACGGTGAGTGCATATTGTATACATAAATACGATGTTACGGTGAGAGATCTGTTATGAGATAAGGTGGATTAAGAAGGTTTTTACCTGCTGTGGAGGTGTTTGTCATTGAGGTGGAATTGAAATGGAAATTACTTGCGGACCGAAATTCGTTAAAGATAATAACTGGAAAGGAATTAGTTATTGATTTTTCGAAGAATTTTTCGCGGGTTAAGAAAAAGTGTTTTACATTTTAAGCTTAATATTTTGTGTAAAATCATTTTAGGCGTACAGGTGTTTCATTTAAGTTTAGTTTATTTTTATTATTTATCTTTTTTTTTTTTATATACTAATATTTATTGTTGTTAATTTTATATTTTGCTTTAAATACATATTTATTAATATATTTCGCGCAATAAAAAAATTAAAATTTTTAAAGTTACTTGTATACTGTTTGTAAAAAAAATTATTCTGTTATTGTAATATTTTTTTAATTTTTTCATGAAATTTTGTCACTTCTTTCATAATCTATTTTGCTTCATCGACTTTTCTAACTATATTTTAAATTTTCCTCTATACAGACTTTATAATTTGCAATACTCTAAACCGCTTTTTACAATTAATTTATAATAATTATTTTCTTTAAATTGTGCGAAGTTAATTATCACCTATTCCCACACACGACGCAGGTATGCATTTGTTTGTACGCCACCGCTTTCAAGCTAATTTTGTGCAGCAAAAAAGAAATAATTCAATTTCGCAGAAATAAACGGCAAGCGGCCTTGAGGCAATGCTGGACAGGTTTTTGAAAACTTAATGTTTGCAATTTCCTACCTTTCGGCTTCTTTTTAGAATGCCAATTTTTAATGATGACTCAAAAACCAGAAAGAGTTGCTTAAGCCAACACAATTATTGTAATTATACTCAGCACTGATGAGTAGATAATCAAACTTCTATATTGGTGTTGAATTGCGGTAAATTTTGTGTGTTGAAACCAAGTAATTTAAGAAATTGACGACGTGGCAGAACAGTAATTATCACCACATAATAAGTATTTATTTTTCATTTTAATGATTTGATTTTTAATTCACTATTAACGATTTATGGGAAATTTCTACAATTTTAAATATAATTTTTAAAAACTTACTGAAATCGCACACTTATGATAATTATCAACACATTAGATTTAGACTTTGTACATACCCTGGAAAAGAAAAAAAAAATTATATATAAATAAGTATAAAAATTCAATTGAAAATATTGGAAAAATATAATTCAAAAATAAAGATAAATACCAAAGTGTTTTTGAAAAATTTTTGCATGTAGAATTGTTAAAAATTTCGAGCGTACATTTTCTTTACATAAAGTTCAACTGTCAATAAAACAAAGAACCGCTCGAAGTAATGAAAACATTGCTGCCGTTCAGTTAAGTGTTGCTGAAGACCGAAATTTGACGATTCCAAGACGTTCTCAAGAATTGGGACTGTCTCAAACCACAATCAAGCGGATTTTGGAAAAGGATTTGGGCTTGCATCCGTATTAAATTAATCTCACTCAAGAACTGAAGCTATTGAACCAACGCAAACATCGTGAATTTGTTGATTTTGCCTTAGAACAACTTGAAAAAGATAACGATTTTTTTTTAAGAAAATCATCTTCTCCGATTAGGCTCACTTTCATCTGAGTGGTTCGGTTAATAAATAAAACTGTCGATTCTGGTGCGAAGAAAATCCACAAATTATTCATGAACAACCATTACATTCAGCTAAATTGACAAGTTTGGTGTGGTTTTTGGTCTGGGTCGGTCATCGGTCCCTACTTCTTTCGAAATGAAGCTGGTGACAACGTTACTGTCAATGGAGAACATTATTGAACCAACTATTTATAGCCGCAATTGAAAGACGTTGATTCTGACAACATCTGGTTCAAACAAGCCAGACTAAGTGCCACAACCGACTGATGGTGAAAAAGTTTGGAGATTCGATCATTTTAAGAAATTGTGACATTGAATGGCCTCCAAGAAGTTGTGATTTAACACCATTATACTACTTCTTGTGGGGTTATTTGAAGTCAATAGGCTTTAGCTATAAACCAGTCTCTCTTCAAGCATTAGAAGGCAATATTGAAGGTACTATTCATGACATACGACTCGATTTAGTGGAAAAAGTACTCGAAAATTCCTTTCATCGAATTCGTTTCTGCAAAAGAAATCGTGCAGGCCATTTAAATGATGTTATATTCAGAACTAATTGTATCGATTGGACTTCACATTAAATAAAAAAACATTTGAATTTCCTTAACAATTAGTGTGTTTTTGTTTTTAAATCATATCACTCTTATTGGAAAATACAATAAAACAAATAATTAAAAAGATTTTCGAACATATTTTCAGAGTTACACAGTGACCATTAAAAAAAATTAAGAAGAAACACAGCGGATGTTAAATCCCTGTGCAGAGGGCATATCGGTATCAGCCGATGTACCCATTTTATACCATATATGTATAATCAACTATTTCCGTAAGTCGAACGAGCGGTCACGCAGCTGGCCACTCAATAGAAACGTGCAATTAAAGAAAACGCCAAAAAAGTCAATCATAAAATATTAAACGAAACCGAAAAGCCCAACAAATAAAGGAACAACAACAGCTACATACACATGTCTATATACCGGTAGAGATATAATATATGGCATAGCTGAAAAAAAAAGTGTAGACACAGGCACACAGGCCACAGTTAGAAAACCAGCAAGAGAGAAAAACCGCTGTTCAAAGCCACACGACGGTAAAGAGCGGAATTTGTTATAAATGAGAATCTCAAAGGTGTGCATGCAGGCAGTCAGGTAGACAGACAAGCAGCCAGCAACAGCAAAAACAAGCACACCTGTTTTGATAGCAGGGAAATAATAGAAAAAGCGGTTAAAATCAGATATGTCTGGATATGTATGTACTTATGAGCGATGCTGGAGATGAACAGGCGGCGAACTAACGCCATCAGCGCCAAGGAAACGGACCAAACCACAGACAGAGTGCGACACAAAAATATGTAGACCTTTGGAGGCAGTCAATTCCGATTGTTGTTAAAAAAAAATGGCGGAATTCATTTTATTTCGATCCCATTTTTTAACATATGGGCGCATCAATTAAAATTTAAGTGGAACACAGCCGTTTTTAAATGCCCCGAAGAGCAATGCAGCGAGTGGAAATGCTAAAAAATAAAATTTTTTGCGTTGGATTGGATTCCTGGCCAGCGACAACTGAAATTCATTTATGGGAGTTGAAAGTGAAGTCAAAGAGAGCAACGCAGACGTAAAGAATTTGCGAAAATGCTTAAAGGGAATGCGAGATACAGAAATTATGGAATTTAAAAAATAACATAGTGGTGAAAAAAATCATAACGGGCAACGTAAACTAGTCTTTTTTGCATTAAAATTTATTAGTTGTTAATTAAACTTGTTGGGCTCGAATTAGGCCAAAATTAAACGGTTTTAGGTGTGTGTCTTTACTAAAAACAAAACACGCGCCTAGGTGTAGGTAATATTTTTGTTTTACAATATAAGAAATTGATAGAATCATAGCCTACATTTAAAAATGAGAGTGATCTGCGAAATAATTTTAAAGTATTTTCGATTTTGTGGCCATTGTTGAATATACAAACATATACCGCAAGTTATGAACACTTTGGGACTGCAACACCGGCAGAAACTTTTCAGCGCGAACGGTAAAAGTAACTAGAACAAGACTCTGCTAACTAACACATAAAGTAGGAAAAGTAGTTTCCGTGAAATTAATATGTGAAGGGATTCCCAATAGTTATAGTGCGGAGAGGAGAGAAAGAGCTGGAGGCTCGCAAGTACACAAGTGTTTTACGTGTTTGGCGTTGTAATGGAAAGATTATCGTAATTTGAAACACATGGCCTGGGCACTGCAGCAATGAGACCCATACAAATACGTATCAAATATGAGAACGCGCTTCAGGTGGTGTCTGGACTGACGCATTTTTCTAGTGAAAGCAATGCACTCATACATACTTATATACTTGTAAGTGCACAAGTGTGTGTGTGTGAGCATGCAGTCAAACGACATTCAGAGACCACAAGCAAAGTAGATACGTTTCTTAAACAGCACGCAAGAGCGTTTAAGTGCCAGACGGGAGCGAAGGCTCGTCTCATGCGCTGAATGCGGGGGGTACACACACACATATACATACATAGAAATGTACATATGGAGATGGCAAAAGCGAAAACCGAAAAAATGCATTGAAAAGATCCAAAGTGGAAACGCAGAGAAGAAAATAAATAAAATTAAAAATAAAAAAAAAAATTTATAAAAAAATAAAAAATAAATAAAAGGATTGCTAGGTCGCAACCAGAAATAGCACCGCTGCATGCGAATAAGACAGACAGACGGTCGAAAAAACAACAACAGCAACAATAATATACTAAAGAACACGCACATACCCAGATTTCTCCTTGAACTCTTAACACAGAGGCCATTTATATACCTGATATATACCTATGAACATACATATATACATATAGCATGTATGTATGCGAGTATATGGTTTTTATTTATTTTTTATTTACATTTCTTTTACAAAACATGCATGCTGCCGCATAAGCAGCAACACACAAAAGGCAAAAATCAATGCGAACGACAAAGTTGTTGATTTCTACGCGGCTACTCACATGGCTTGCTGGTGGTGGAGATTAAATGGGAACTGCCTGTGAAACGCACGCACGGAAATACATACATATATACATACACACAAATACGGTATATGCACCGGCATTAACGATATTGGAGTTCGAAGTGCACATAGACCTTTGAACACGCTGCTCGTCGGTACCGATACCACTGAGCAGCAGCAACAAAATGTTCGCATATCAAACTTCTTGCTTTGCACACAAACACACACTCGAACAAGAAGAAAAAAAACGCATGTGCTATGCATTCGATCGCTTCGTTATTGCTTGGTAAACGCAAATGCGACGAGGGGCTTAGTTGGCTCCCCTGCAGTCTGCATACTCACTGCCTTTTTGAGACACAAGTCAAGCTGAAAGAAGCTGTGGTGCAACACCGTAGGCAGTAAGTAAGCAGGCAACCAACTGGTGAAAGACACTTATGACGCATGCATGTACGTACATACATATGTACATACAAGTATGTATGCATGCGTTTGCACAGGTATGAGTAATAAAATGGCATAAAAGTGTAATTGCCGTGGGCTTTGTTTGCTGGTAATGTAGGAAATTAGTGGTGCTTGAAAAGGAAATTTATATTCATTAAAATATGTATAGGCACATATGTGTATGGTACGATTACTAATTAATAGAAATAACGATAAAAAAATATCTTGAATATTACTTCTGTTAAATCTAAGACACTCAATACTGCAAATGTGACATGTTTGGCGTGTAGCAGTTGTTGTTGTAATTGCATAGTATTTAATGAAATCACTGGGATTACTCACTATTAGTTAAGTAATCTAAATAACGGGTTCTGGGCTATTAACAAGTACTGCTTATGAAACGCAAGTACACAGTATTACTTGAGAGCATCCTTTGTTGTATAATTCATTTTTTAATAGGGATTAAAAGTACTGAATACTTTTCGTTAATTAATATAATTATTTTCTTCTCTCTATACGAGAAATGTCGTTTATAAGCAATTTCTATTCAAAGAAATTAGTATTTTATAATAACTTATTCGAAGTAATCAGTATAAAATTAGTACTTATTCAAAGTAATCAGCTTCGATTGTCTTCAAGTAATCAGTTTGAGCGAAATTCCTTAATACAATTTAAAGTGCGAAATTTAAATTAAATTTACTCAATACCGCACTAAAGTGCTTGGTATTGTTGCAGTTTTATTGTCATTAGAACTCATTGTTACTGCTGTAATACGACGTTTTAAACACGAACTATAATATATTATTGAACAAG